AGCGCGGTTGGAGACAAAAGGTGACGCGGGTGCTGGCAAAGGGGAGAGAAGAGCGACAGGCAACTTCACGTTTGCTCCGGTTCCAGCTGTCCCTTCCATCGGGCCGTTAGCGTCCCAACAAGCACTACGAAATCACAAGCGGCGCGACACCCCGGATGGCGTGCAAAGACCACCACGGCATCTATGCCCGCGGTGCGATTTCAGACGGGAGCAGAATCTGTACACGGAGCCGCTTCCGGGGCGCGGGCCGAAGCCCCGCTCGCCTGTGCGGGAATGAGCGCGGGCCGCGGGGCCCGGCCCAGGAACGTGTGTCTGCCCCAAAGAAGGAGATAAGGCACTAAAAGTGATAGAGGTAGTGGGAGGAGTCATTTAATTCTTTTAAAAAGTCTTGTTCTGAGGTATTAAAGTAAATTTTAGGGGAGTGATGGGTTTGTACTTCAAGGAAAAGGATTTAAAAGGTCTTTATAAAACAAGAAATAAAGTGAGATGTCCAAAGTATGCGTTAATGATTTTGTGGCAGTCATGACACAATGTATGCATACCTCAGTTCGCCACACTGTACACCCTGAACATGTCTTTATATTCACTGTACACCCTGAATATATCTTTATCTGACAGTTAAGCATCCTAAAATAAAACATACATGCTGAAAACAGATGTCGGTAAATATTGAAGGAAAAGATAATTTTCCTAAAAGAAGGGATTTTAAAATCGCACACCGAGACTGAAGCAAAACCAGGAAAACCTTCGTGTTTTGGTGGTGGGTCAGCAGACCCTAAACACTGTGCTGTCAGGAATCTGCTCCGGTCCGGCTGCCGCGGGAGACGGCGCCCTGCCGGGGCGTGCGGGGACGCTGGGAGGAGGCCGTTCTTCCCCGGGGACAGCGCTGCCTGTGTTTTCCGGCATTTGGGAAAATATAAACAATCTAAAAATCATCACAGAAAAACCGGGGCCAACCACTAAATGGTTGTTTGACAAGGAGCTGGACTGCTTTCCTCTGTGCCGCTGTTGTGGAGAGGTCAGGGCTTGCCTTTTCCTGGGACAGTGTGTGTGTTCGGACAGAATCACATATGAAAAAGAATTCCGTTCTCTGCGGGAGGATGACGGCAGGCAGGACAGAGCGGCTCTGCCGTTCTATGCAATTGCACGCTCAGTTCCGACCACGCTCAGTTCCTGTTTAAAGGACTCTGCGGCGGCCCCGGCGGTCCGTCTTCGCTGATGCGGGGGGCAGAGGGGCGAAGGGAACGCCCCCGCCCCGCCCCGTTTATGCATCTCTTGCTACTTGCTAGACAGTGACAGAGTACAGACCCGCACGTGACCCCCGGAAGGGCCATCTCAGATGTCTGTTCAGTTTCAGACTTAACTTGCCACTGACGATTTCAGGAGGAATTCTAAGAAAGAAAAACGCATTATTCTCGTGTCTCAACAAATCCGGGCTGTTACTCAGATAACTGGAAACAATCTGTCCTTGAGCATCTTCCCGGAAAGAACATTCTCCAGACCCAAGACGTATTTCTAGACTTCCAACAAGAGCTTATAGAGTCACCAAAACAATATAATAGGGATGTGACTGTATCCCAGAAATGGGAAAGTTTGTCTTGTAAAATCCAGAGCTGAAAACTTGGTAACTACGAAAAGGGAGCAGGCATGGCGACAGGACGCCCCGCAGTCGCGAACGCGCGTCAGGGCGTGCCCGGGATAGCACAGGCACGCCCTAAGGCGTCTCCAAACGGCCGCTATAGAATCTAGAATGTCTCCAAACAGGATTTACTTAGCAGGAAAAGAGATTCTTTAATCGATGATGTGGGAAATAAACGTTTCTGTTCCTGTAAGCTAAACCACTGCATGATCCCTTCTGGGATTTATAACTAAATTTCATTCTTTTCTTTCTTTCTTCTTTTTTTTTTCTTTTTACCTGAAAGGAATGCATGTTGTGCAATTAGGTCTTCTCCGCTTTCTTCCTTCTCCTGCCCCACAGATCCTGTAAGTAGTTGGTCTAGGAAATAACAGTTTTAGCCGATTTTGACATTGTTTGGAACCTTTCTGCTATTTTTTTTTCTTTTTTAGTGTTTCAATTGTAAGCCTTTTGGGAGATTCTTAGTCATTTTATCTACCTACACACAAATTGTGGTTTAGTTTTGAATCATCCAGCACATCTAAATCCTCTCTAATCGGATTGTCAGAGGAAGTGGAATGCATTGGGGTGATGACTCCCCTTGCGTCCAGAGAGCAGCGTCCTCTGCACTTCCTATCTCGGGGCCCCGGGGAGCCCAGAGGCGCAGCAGTCTGGGGGCTCCGTCCCTCCTGCTGGGGAGCAGGGACAGCAGCCTCGCCCTGACACATCACCAGAATGAACGCAGGGGACACTCAGAAGGAACTGGTCAAAATCAGACCAAGGGAAACATAAAGAGCCCACAGGCAAATGCGAGTGTTTCGTCAGAAACTCATTTTACCAGTAATAACAAAAGCGCAATAAATCAACGTAAACGTAAAGGGAGCAACATGCATTTCACAACATACTGAACTTTCTTCAACAATATTCCCTGTGGTCCAGGAATTTTACTTCTGGAAAGCTAATGTTACAGGAATGATGCTAAAGCAGAAAGAAGTCGATGGCAAAGGCTGTATATGGGAGGGCTAAAGGGTGTTTGAGAAATGGGCAGAGTCGAGTGCCTCGTGCTCTAGGTAGACCATTCCTCTCGGTGGCCTATTGGTAAAATGTGTTCACAGAAATGAACAAAGAACAGAAATTGCTTTAGATATAAAGTCAATGGAAAAGGTAAGAGAAATGCATATATGTAGTAAAATTGCAAAATATGCAAATATAAAATCCAACGGGCACTTGGTAAAAGCTGGAAATGTTGACGGCATCATGAAGCAATATTGTTCAGGCGGTTTTTCCTATTCCTAATTTTCCTACTGTTTCTATTTTTTATTTAATGAGTATGCATGAGTTTTGAAATAAAAATGTTTAGAAATCTACATTTCTTTAAAATTGAGTTGAAGAACTAGCATGACCGATTCATATCAAAAATAACAATTATTCCTATTTAATTATTCCATTTAATTTAGGATTTGTATGCTAATAATAGAGTTAAATATCTTTTGATCATCAGTTAAATATCTTATTCACCCACACTGCCAAACAGAATTACCTGAGTAGATATGAAAAAAAAGGGTTGGGTTTGCAATAATTTGTTTTAATTAATCCCTGTAGTACCTCAAAATGTGCTACTATCTTTCCCTACCCTCCTCTGCAAAAAATATATATAACAGCAAAGTAGAAACAAAAATACTCAAAATACTTAACTGCATGAGGTTAAAGTAAAATACTTTAACTTTTTGAATAAATATCTCAAAATAAGGCAAAGGGGGGTCTTAGGAAAAAGTAGGATTTAAAAAAAATATTTGAAATGTTCAGAAATAGTCCACCTAAGCAAAGATCTCTAAAAGAATGCAAACTCTCTCAGTGGAGGTAGCAATAGTCCTATAGTATATGCCCTTTGTCCATTCGATAAGCACACATTTTATCCAGTGTTACCAGGTGGAGCGTCAGGCCAAATGGCAGAGAGACGACCTGGTCTCAGGGGCCCCCCGTCCATCTCTGCACACGGGTGCTTTCTTCTCACGCCCCGAGCCCTGGATCCGAACACCCGCCTAGTGGCCCCTGAACCCCAGACTCCTGGGCCAGGCTCTTGCTTGCGTGTGGCGGCTCTGTGCGTGGGAAGAGGACGGAACTGACTAATGAAGTCTCTCTCCTAAGCCCGACACGTGGGGGTGCTGCCGGATTTTCTTTCCCCTCTGCCGTCTGGGGCTCACCCTGTCATTTACTCACCCATCTGTCGGGTCCTCAGTGTGTACGAGGTGGAGTGTTCCCCAGAGAGGGCTGTTTCCATTCCAGTCCCGCACCTGGCCGCCCAGGGAAAGGCACAGTTAACTGCCCGCCATGGAGCCATTCTTGTGCTGAGGAGCAAGTACATCGAGGTTTATGCTGTCAAACTGTAGGCGAGTCTTGGGCTCGAGAACGGGGTCTTTGGTGGAGAACGCCAGGGCACGGCTAGTAATGACAGCCTGTGACAAGGGTCAGGGCACCCCTCTGCCTGTGGCTGGGAGGGGAGGGGAGCTGCCAGCCTTTCCCCAAGGACTAGGGCAGGCGAGGCGGCCTAGTTTATAGCAGTCGTCTATTTCCAGAAAGTCTAGGCAAGAGTCTGGTCTCTATCAATTCTCACTTTCTTACCTCGAAGCTCCAGGAAGCCTCTTAATCTCTTTTAGCCCCAGTCCTATAGGGTCGTTGTGCTGATTGATGTGACCACACATAGCAAGCGTAAAGTGTGATAAGGTGTTAATTCTATAATTATTATTAACGCCATGCTGAAATATTCAGGGCCGCTGTGTCATTCTTTCTGCAACCTACAGTCAAATCGTGTAGGGGAAAGAGTACATAGACAGAACAAAGCAATCGCTGCAAAATGTGACAATCGGCGAAACTGGGATAAGAGGTGCAGATATCCCTGGCACCATTTCATCAGAAAAAAAGTTGAGAAAAGATGAGTAAAAACAGACAAAACATGGTGGCTGTGCCTGTCCCGGACTCTGCAGTGTGAAAACGGGCACGACCCTTACTTTCTCTAAGCCTCTTTCTTGAGAGGCACGAGTGCCTGTCTGGTGCTAAGTGTTTTGTGAACACCGGCCGTGGTCGCAGATGCAGGTTGTGTTACATGCAGCCCCGGGGCCCTGTGTGGGCACAGGGGCTTACAGACGTGGTTATCTGGGCAGCGCCAAGCGATCCCTGGGTCCCTGGGCCAAGCCTCCCACCTCTGGCCGCCCAGACTCCAGCCAATCTGCGCTGCCGCGGCCACCTCCGCGCTGCATATGCATGACCGGCCCGGCTCGGCCCGCGCCCGCACGGTGGAGCGCGCAGAGCAGGCCTGCCCCCGAGGGCGGCACGGCAGGGCCGCTGCAGCGCCTGCTCGGAAACCCCGGCTGGAGCGGACGCTGGCTGCCGGCTTCCCCGCCCCCGGCCAGCTGCTGGTCACCGGCAGCAGCTCAGCTCCCATGACACCCGCAAAGGCGTCCCAGCGCTGCAGGAGCGTCCGGAGAAACGCCAGCCAGCGCTACCTCTACCAGGAGTCCCTGCTGCTCAGGTGAGCCGGTCACACCCATCCGCTGGGCGGGGGAGGCGGGTGCGTGAGGAAGGGACCAGGTCCCTGTCCTGCTTGGTTCCCCTTCAGAATAAACTCGGAAACTCACGCCTCCAGGTGCCTGAGAAGCTGGGGCGCCACCTCAGCAGTGTGCCCAGATGCCGCCGGCGCTCCCTGCCGCGTCTCGGCCGGGAGATCAGAATCCAAAAGCCCGCACCCCGGCCGGCTTAACTCTCGCGGCTCAGACCCACAGACAGGCTGCGCCTGTGCTCCCTCCGTTTACTCAGTCCGCAGGGAGCGAATGGCGCATCCATCATCATAAAGAAGATGTTTGTTGGAAAAGGCTTCAGGCTAGTTAGAAGTGGATGAGAGTTTGTTAAATATGTATAAAGAATATTTATAAGGTTTATTAAAACCTCCACTTAATTTAGAGAAATTGAGGCGGGAGGGGGGATTCTCTTTTGAGTAAGTAAAAACCATCTGAATTAGAGAACAAAGGAAATGTTTCCTCTGACTTCTGATAGCCGTAGAAGAATGCTCTTACCCCCTCCTGAGAAGTCATGTTAGGGTTAGCATGCTGATTGCTACTGGGAATAAACGCTGCTACATGCTGGAAAATTGTTCTTGAGACTATTTCACTGAAATATTTTGCCTGAGTGAATCTGCTGAGCTGATTTCTTGCCCGTGGAAACCGCTGCCTGGTTCCGCCTCTGTCATCTCGGGCTTCAAATGAATTGAAGCAGAGGGCAGGGAGGGGTCTCTGGGTGTCAGAAGTCTGTCTGGGCTGTATTGATTTTACCTTCAGAGTTGGGGGAAGAAGGAGAAGCCTCTAAAGTTAGCTGATTATTTCAATGAGCCTGAAAAAGAAATTGTTTCGCCCGCCAAAACTGCTGCTGTTCAGGAATCGAATAGCACCTGAGCACCCGTCGCCCCCTCTCGTGTCTCCTGGTAACATCGTTCGCCCCGAGAAATCACTCTCTTAGCTGCCCACTGGAAGTAACAGAATCCAGTAACTGCGTTCAGTGGGCTGCTAACGTCGCCAGACGCTCTCCCTGCCCCTCGGATCCCTCCCCTTACACACACATGCACACACACGCACCTGCACGCACACACATGCACACACACATGCACACACGCACCTGCACGCACACACATGCACACACACATGCACACACGCACCTGCCACATGCACACACACATGCACACACACGCACCTGCATGCACACACATGCACACACACATGCACACACGCACCTGCACGCACACACATGCACACACACATGCACACACGCACCTGCACGCACACACATGCACACACACATGCACACACACGCACCTGCATGCACACACATGCACACACATGCACACACACGCACCTGCACGCACACACATGCACACACATGTGCACATGCACACACACATGCACACACCCACATGCACACACATATACACACACATGCACGCGCATGCACACGCACATGCACACACATATGCACACACATACACATGCATACACACACGCACACATACATATACACATACGCTTCATGCAGATGACCCCGGGGCAGTGCGATGCTGAACTAGCCCAGGACGAGAGGATGATACTAGCGGGAAGCAACTCTACTAATCCCATTTCCTCCGTGTTGCCCTTATCCACTCAGCAACTTGGATGACAGCTTTAATGCTGATGAAACAGGGGACAGCAATGATCCGGAACAAATCTTCCAGAACATACAATTCCAGAAAGATCTCATGGCGAACATTCGCTGCAGACCCTGGACCATGGGGCAGAAGCTGAGGGCGTTGAGGTAAGGGCCTCCATGGCAGATATTGATCATTGCAAACGTGCCTCCCAGTAAGCCGCCTGCCCCGCCACTAGGGACAGGACCGAGACCCACGTGAATGGGTTCGGTCACTCCGAACTTGGCTTAGAGAAGCCACGCAGATTCCCAGGGGTCTAGCTGATCCAGACAGCCAGTTCCTCCGTGTGTGTGTGCGTGTGTGTGTGTGTGTGTGTGTGTTGTGGTGTCTGTGTTTTGTGTGTGTGTTGGTGGGTAGTTTTTCATCTTCTACCTCCTTTCCAAGATATTCCAACTAGATTTTTTTTTTTGAGACAGAGTCTTGCTCTGTCACCCAGGGTAGAGTGCCGTGGCGTCAGCCTAGCTCACAGCTACCTCGAACTCCTGGGCTCAAGCGATCCTCCTGTCTCAGCCTCCCAAGTTGCTGGGATTGCAGGCATATGCCACCATGCCTGGCTAATTTTTAAATTTTGGTAGAGACAGGGTCTCACTGTTGCCCAGGCTGCTCTCTAACTCCTGAGTTCAAGTGAACCTCCTGCCTCAGCCTCCCAAGTAGCTGGGACTACAGATGTTTGTCACCACGCCCAGCTAATTTTTCTATTTTTAGTAGAGACGGGGGTCTCGCTCTTGCCTAGGCTGGTCTCGAACTCTTGACCTCAAGGGATCCTCCCACCTCTACCTCCCAAAGTGCTAGGATTACAGGCATGAGCCACCGCTCCTGGCCCAAACACTAGATTTTAACATTGTCTCCAAACTCACTTAAGACAGGGCGATAAGCCAGGATGAAAAAAAAGATGCTCATTTTAGCTGCTTGGCTATTTCCTCCCTCTGGGGGGAAGAAATCTCTATGGCGAGCCAGATTACTTAGTGTCTTATTAGAGAGTCTGTCTGTGTAAGAGTTAATCACTAAAGATCTGAAGACAGATGGCCTGAATTTGCACGCTACCTCTACCAATCTCTAGCCGCGTGATATTGGGCAATTTTCGTAATCTCTCTAAACACCAGCTTGGTGTTCAGAAGTGACGTGATAGTGAGGAACAGCCCTCGCTTCCTGCACCAATGTCCCCGACAACGTCAACTGCCGAGAAAAACTCAAAATCTCTGGACGGCACTGTGGGAGCGCGCCCGGCGCCGCTGACCTGCCTGCGGCCGACCCTGTCGCCTGCTCAAGTTTGAGACAGCGGCTTGCCGGCCGGCGGGCAGCACCTTGTCTGGTGCAGCAGCCACTTGGGAAGACGGAGGGAGGGAGAGATGGTCAGGACGCAGGACGGGGGCGCCGGGCGTCTGCAGAATGGACGCCAGGACCTCACCCCGAGCTGCCGTGACCGTGGAGAGGACCTTCCCGGCAAAGCAGACGCTGCCCCCAGCGTCACACCGCCGCGGGGACGGACCCTCTGCTGTACCTTGCTGCCGACCGCCTGTGTGACATGCCGGCAGACGTCCCTTTGTCTCCACCTCTGCCACCTGCTGGGCTTTCGTTTCTTCCTCTTCTAGTCGTTCCTTCCTTTCAGATTTCCACTCCAGGAACTGTTCTTGCAGAACAGACAGGCTGCGACAGCTAAGGCCACCCACGGTCTGCACCCTCAGAAGTTCCCTGTTAGTTTTCCTTTATCTGCCTTCTGTCATCTCCATTTCTCTGGATAAGCATGGCATTATGTCCATTTCTCAGATGAGAAGACTGATACTCAGAGATAGCAAGAGACTGACCGGAGCTGCACACACCTTCTGAGTGCTACAATGAGGCTTTAGACCTAGGCTTTCTGGCCCCCAGTCCAACATTCTCTGTATTGAAACATAGGAATTGCACCCAAGTTATCACTGGAGCAATTAATCTAAAAAAAATGCATATGTTCTATCAGGACTTTTAAACATCATTCAGAAACGATGATGATTAGTTACCATCTGAATAAGGGGAGGTGGGATAAACCTCTGTGGCCCTGTGGGCAACGCAGAGCGAATGACGGCTTTTCTGCCAAGGCCCTTCCGGAGCAAGGGAGCAGACCAGGCCTCCCGCCGGGCCGCCTGGCCCTCACTCAGAGCACCAGGACGGCCACTGCGGCCACGCCCGGCCAGCGGGCGGCTCTCAGGAAGCAGCTTGCCCTCCGAGCACCTCCCTCTGCCACCGTGTCACTCCCATCTCCTCTCCTTCACCTTGAGGAGCCATTGGAGCAACGCGCCGCTGACCGGACCTGCTGAGGCTCGTCCTGGCGCCGCCGTGGAAGGGGCGGGAGGCGCCGGACTCTGACTGCCGGGGACCCGGGGAGCGGCGCCCGGCACCGACAGGAGCGGGGCAAGCTGGCCCCGAGTCTGCTGCGAAAGCCACCTGTCTGGGGGGACTTGGGACTCACTCGTTCCCCCCACAGGGAAATGCCTGGTCACGCCTCAGTCACAGCCCCCACCCGCCCCCACTCTCTCCCGGTCATTGTCTGTCTAAGTCTCTCGCATCTCTGGTGGGTACTGAAGCCTTCTAGCACAGCGACTGCATTTTAGGCACCTCCGTATTCTACTGTGCTTGACTCGAAACAGACGTGCAGAAAATGTTTTCCAGGCAAAATGAATTAATAAGATAAATACATACATACATACATAAATAGTTGACTTGGATGGGCTTTCATTTTTTGGACGCCTGTAGCATGCAGCTCTATTAAGGAGGCCCCCAACGAGGCGGTCATGGTTCGGGGTCAGGGCACCAGCCCCCGCCCTGGCCTGCACTGCCGGCTCTGCTCGGCACGCAGCCAGGGCACGGGCTGGGCTGGGAAGATGGGGGTATGGCAGTGGAGGGAGAGCGCGAGAGAGACGTGCAAAGCCAAGCACTCTGGTTAGGTCATGTTTCAAAGAGATCACGCTCTGTGGACAAGGGAGTTGGCTCGTTCCTTGTGTCGCCTAAGGAAGGACTCAGAGCCAGCGGGGGTTGCTGGAGGTTGCTGGCACGCACATACAAAAACACCCGCACAGAACCAGCAAACTGGCTGGTTCAGGAGATCCAAGTTCTCCACGCCGAGCGTGTTCGTGCAGAGGGTAGCCGACCATTCGGTAACGAGGATCTCTGCCCCGGGGGTGGCGTAGGATCGGTTCCCCTTGAAGGTGACTTTCATCTCTCTAGGAGTCTTTGACTTCAGTCTGTCCCGTGGCACTGACATTTATTTTCTAATCCTGCTGTTCATCCAGGTGCGGATTTAGCTGTCTATCCCAGTGAATTCAGTCCATTTTTAAGGATTGAACACTCAAGCCGGCATGCCAGGCCAACTCCTCAAAGCAATGCGTTAGCACGTTTGTTTGGGCTGAATCAGGTTGTTCCTAGCTACGTAGACACGACTTTCTTGTTCCCGGGGACGCGGCACCACCGTTTTCTCAGAGCAGATTCTCTGAAGCTAGGTCTGACGTGCGCTTTCAAAGAACTGACTGCAAGGGGAAGGTTGCTCAGTGGAGAGCTGAGACGCAAGTGCCTGTCACCAGGGTTTCCGAAGCTAAGGATTCCCAGCCAGCCGCCAGGACCAGGGAAGGGCTTTAAGAAATTCAGCTGTTTGACTCATTTGGGGATGAATTCATCAGCTTGGATTAACGCATCCGTTTAAATGTTAAAGACAAAAATTTTAAAAGAGCTTTCTGCTTGCCAAGAGTTAGAAAATGAACCATCCACGTAACTCCATCCCCCCACAGCATCTTGTCCCGCGTCCTCCGGCAACCGGTTCCTGTTGTGTTTTCGCCTATCTTGCGAAGACCGTTAAGTGTGATAAAATTGCGTTCACTGTCATGTTTTTCTTCTCTCAGACGGGCAAAGGAGATTGTGCTGAAGTTTGAAGGCAGGCTGACCAGGACCCGAGGCTACCAGGCGGCGGGTGCAGAGGTGAGGAGCGCACCTGGGGGTCCCGCCTCCTGCGTGGGGGAGAGACAGTGACTTCCCCAGGGGCACCTAGGCAGGGAGATGTGGGACCAGAGCTAGAACTCTGGCTTCTTCTGGCCTTCCGCGCAGTGTCTCTCAGACGTCAGGACTTGACAGCGGGCCAGAGACTCAAGTGTTTTCCACCCCCAAACCCTTGCCCGAGGGTGTTTGTTGGCGCACCCCTCCCGCTGGATGCTGCCGGGGATGAATGATCAGAAAGCCTCGGTTTTTCTCTCTACGCTCTAGGACAGGGGTGGGGAAACTGCTCATGTCGGAAGCCGCGTTAATGTAGCTGTAATCAAAAAAGGCCACATTCAAGAAACTCCAATGAGATATACTTAGAAATGTACATTTTTTTTGTAAAAATCTAACTACTATGTAGGTAATAATTTCAAAATCTAAAAATATTTGTTAATGTTAAACTAAGCTTTTAGTGACTTTATTGTGTCTGCTTTCTGTTGGAAAGCATTTGAATATTTGGCGTGCAGTTTCAGTTGATCCTCTACACGGGTATCGGTCATTTGCGACCTTAACGGCATCTTGATTTGGGTTAGGCAGGAGAATGTAGATTTGCAGCAACAGTGGTTAAAAAGCAAGGAGGCATTTTTCAGGCATGTTACTGAAGGCATGGGTATTCTACTGCATTTTTCCTTATTTCAGTTGCCTCTTTCTTAGTATCAATAACGACTTTAAAATGTCATCTACTGAGAGCTCAATCAATTCCATCTGTAGCTCTTTAGGTGCCTTGGTGATATCAACTAGGTGAGGCTGACATGCTAATTTCAGTGTGATGTCATGATGCTCAAAGTCAGTGACCCTTTCATTGTATTTTCCATTTAATAATAGGTCTGTAACAGCTGTGCATTCTCCAAATGATTTGCATGCATCATCTGCTCATCAGTGACCTTTGCTAACCATTAGATGGAAAATGTCCATCTAATATTTCCTTTTGAAGAAGTGGTGTTGTGAAAAAATAGAGCTCTTTTCAAAATGCTTGGATTTTTTTTTTTGCCACATACCATTTCTAGACTTAGTTGTATCATGCAAAGAAATATTCAAGTCATTTTGATTTGACATGATATCACACAGAAATGCTGCATTCCTATAGAAATCTTCTTTTAATAATGCACATTGCTGATTCTGTTCTTCATAATATTTAACTATCTGTTCTCACAGAGATAAAAGTTTGGCTAACACCTGTCTCTGCAATAGCCAACCCACTTTGGAACGATACAGCAAATCCACACTGAATACCCCATTTTCAACTTTAGGGTGTCGTGAAACTGACAATGCCGTGTTGCATTTGCATGAATATAGTTAACAATACTTATAACTTGTTGCAAAGTGTCACTTAAAATAGTAGCTTTAGCACAGAGATTTTGCTGATGCAAGATACAATGAAAGGAAATGAGAGTATCTGAATCTGTTGATACTTTTTTTTAAATCTAAGCAATAAATCCTTCCTGTTTTCCTGTCCTGGAATGTGCACTGTCTGTACATACACTTACTAAATTTTCCAATTTGGTCCAACTTCACAACACTTATCTTCAAAGTTGTTGAAGATACCTATTCCCTGTGTTCTGTTCACAAGACTATCCAAAGCAAGTAACTCTTTGTAGCAAAGAAAATCCTCTGTTATAACCTGAATGAAGTATAAAACATGTGCTAAGTCAGTATCAGTTGATTCATTCAAAGCAATTGAATAATACATATTTTCCTTTTGAAGTATTGCATGAAGTTGTCCTGTTGAGCTGAAGGCTAATTCATGCTGCTGATCAGTTGTGGTTCTCCTTGAAAGAGGCAGTTGTTTATACTTTGAAACATTATTGGGGTCTAAGCATCCTACAACTTGGACAATGCACTTTCACAGTTTCTACATCGCTGAATGGCGTCCCTTTTCCCCAGAGTATATAAGCTAATTTATATGTTGCTTCAGTGGCATTATTTCCAAGTCTTAATGCTGCTTGAAAGAATTTTCTTTGCTTTTGCTTTTCATCTTTTAATTTCTGCAGTACAACATTTTGCACCTCTTCCTCTAATTTAAAATATTCGTGGTCCTTCTGAGTATTATAATGCTGATGAGCATTGAATTTCTTTAACGTTGACATCACAGTATCACCAAGTAAGCAAATCTTCTTATCTTTAGCAGAAACAAGATAATATTGCAATTCCCCATCCTCATTAAAAAGTCTATTTTCTTCCTTCAGCGTTCTCTTGGTCTTGATGGGCTGTAAAGCAGACAGAACTAAAAAATACTGTCAAGCTGTGCAACTATTCACAAATTCCACTTCAAACAGAAACACAGTGCATTGTTGTCAAAAGCTGATAACAGACTGGCGTACTCGACCCCCATGAACTTTCACCAACCAGCCTCGTGTGGTTAGTGGCGCCAGGCGTAGGGGGGAGTTAGAGCCAGATGGTGAGGCTGCAGCCGTCGATTTAGCCCTTATGACTGCCCAGTGTTCTTTCTGCGCCAGTCAATCTGGGAGGATTATTTCATTGAAACGTATTTTATTCTTTGGCATTTTAAATACATTCATTTTGAAAATAAAAAATATAAAAGATGAACAAAGATGTGTTAATGAAAATAAAATGATCTGTTCTGTAAAATTTGGATTCAGTCAAAAGGCTGCCCTTGAGGGTGTGGAAGGCCGCAGGTCCCCGTCCCCACTCCAGGACCTGAGCCAGGTGAACACTGCTAAGGTAGTGCAAGGTGGCATGTGATAAACATTGTAAGGGGGACCAACAAGTATCGCTTGGGGAGTTTACAGATAGGAGAATTTGTTTCTCACTGCAAAGAATCTGTTTCCATGGGAGTGGCGATATTGGAGCTGGCTCTCAAAGCATGAGCAGAAGATGAGCAATTCCAATTCCTGATAAAATTCAGATTTTCATTTGCAAGCGGCAGTGCCGGCCTGAGCAGATACATCCAGATGACATTATCATACGTGTCTGTATCGGGACTGTGTGCTGTCTTATAGTTCAGAATGTTATAATTACATTTGTAATCCTTCTTTCTGCAATGATATCATTTACTTCCAACACAAGCCCAGATTGTGTGTGTGTTAAAATGCACAACCCGCCAACTCCGTCGGAGAGCAGAGCCAATGTCAGGGCACATTTTGCTTCATTCTCCTTTGAGAAAAAAAAAAAAAATCTGGTTTTTGAACTTTTAGCAATGGCATCTTAAATCCGCAGTACAAATTGCCAGACCTTGAGAGGCTAGGAAACTCTCTCTGGGTCAGGATGCGAGACACACAATGGGGGGTGGGGGCGGGCTCATTTTCTGGGTGGGCTCTAGACTCTTGGTTCTTAAGCGAGGATGTGATCTTAATCACCCGGGTGGTTTGTTAGTTATGTGGATTTTCGGGCCCCACACTCAGAGCTACCTCAAGTCTATGGCAGGGACAAATATTTAGGCATCCTTCACTGAGTACCTTCCACTGTTCTCAGTCCCTGCGAATAGGATAAGGATCAGGAATAGGAATAGGGTAAGTGAGGCTGCGGCCAGAGAATATGAGCCTCAACACAGAGCCCACGGCTCAGAGCCGGAGGCAGGTGTCTGCTCACCTGGCCAGGAGCACAGAGAAGACGAGGGGGCTGCTTTGATCCCACCTAGAGATTCTGAAAGGCCTATGAAGCCACAGATAAAGGGAGCGGCGGTGTGTCTGGGGGCCCACCCTCTGCGCAGGGCCCTGGCACCGCACAGCCGGTGCCCTGTTTGTGAACGGGACGGCCCCTAATCCTGCCCTCTCCTTCCTAGCTCTGGCGGAAATTTGCTCGTCTCGCCTGTAACTTCGTGGTCATCTTCATTCCCTGGGAAATGCGCATAAAGAAAATCGAGAGTAAGTATTTGCACGTGGAGGAGGGGCGGGATGCAGGGCCGTGGCCGGTCCATGGCCCGAGGAGAGCCTGGCGCGTCCTGGTCCTTCCCCGTGTGGCCTGGGGCGCCCCCGCAGCTGGGGCGCCGGGCTCCCTGGGACAACGGGGGAAGACAGGATGCCTGCGCCCACCACCTCCCGGGACGGGGCAGTCCCAGGTGGTGCCTTTCCACATTGCGATGTTCTCCCAGCTCACTCTTTTATCAGACACGGCCCTGTCCCCAAAGGGACCGTGTGGAACCCGCGAGGATGCGTGAGAGGGCAACACGGCACTGCAAAGCGCAAATGCAAAAAATCCGCATTTCCACAGACGTAATTGTGACCATTTAGAAAATATATGCTAGCCACAACAAGTAAGATATACAACATTTGGGGGATGGACATGCTTGAAGCTCTTACTCGAGGGGGGAAGGAGGGTATGGGCAATATAAGTAACCTTAACACTTGTACCCCCATAATACGCTAAGATTATATATATATATATATATATATAAAATAAAAGAATCAACTTCTTTTGACAAAGACTTAGCTATTTCTCTGGGACCTAATTTCAATAAACAGCATCCTTGTCACCAAAAAATAAAATAAATAAAATAAAATCTGATCCAATCTTCAAAAAAAAAAAAGAAAAGAAAAGAAAATATATGCTAGCCAATAAATAAATCACATCCACCCTCACACTTACAAACACACACACAATGCCAGGAAAAAACAATAAGTCTGAAATAAATAAAGCTGTAAAACTAGACCACAGGGTGTAAAAGTCTTTCGAAGGGACATGGGAAAATTCAGTGTTTGAAAGATGTTAACTTTCCCAAAATCAATTTACAGTTTACTGCAATTCCAATAAAAATCCAAATATATTGTTTTTAGTATTCAACAAAATGATCATAAAACTCACATGGAAGAAAAACATCCAAGAGACTAATAAAAAAAAAATGTTTTAAGGAAAAATGCAAATTAAGTTGCACAGCCAAGACATTAAAATACATTCTAAAACAGGGGTCCTCAAACTTTTTAAACAGGGGGCCAGTTCACTGTCCCTCAGACCGTTGGAGGGCCGGACTACAGTTTAAAAAAAAAAAAAAACTATGAACAAATTCCTCTGCACACTGCACATATCTTATTTTGAAGTAAAAAAACAAATGGGCAAAAATACCCGCATGTGGCCCATAGTCTGTAGTTAGAGGACGCCTGTTCTAAAAGCTACAACAATTGAAACAGTATGGCATAGTGCAGGAATTGACTGACAATTCACACACACACAAAAAAAAAATAAGCAAGAAGTTCAGGAACAGAGAAGAATACACACAGGTCTTTACCATATGATGATTATTAGCGGGTCTAAATTATTCCATAACTATTGCAGAAAAAGTTGATTTGACTGTTTTAAAGAGCAAATTTAATTCACTTTAAAATTCTATTAAATATTTAAATACATTAATACAATAGGAAATGTGTAAGTATACAATAGGAAACCATGGAAGAATTTAAGAAAGTGTAGATGATGTCATTGGAGAATGGAGACCTATCTCATCATAAAAGTGAAGGAAGAAATCATTGAGGAAAGTGTTATTGTTTTTAATTACATTTAAAAAATGTAGTCATAAAAAATAAAGCTACGAGTTAGATGACCAATTGGGAAAAACATTTTCAATATTTAAATAGAATGAAGCACTTTCATACCCTGCTGTTAGAAATGTAAATTGGGACAGAATTTCTAGAGGAAAGTTATAATATGTACCCAAAGTCTTGAAAATGTTTATATCCTTTGATAAAATGCTTCTATTTCCCCAAACCCAGAGAAAACAGCAACAAAACCATAGCACGCTCTGTGGCCAAGGCTATTGGTGCCCCACTCGGGTCCCCTTTACCTGGCGGGTCACCTTCCCCTCGGCTGCTCTGAGTGTGGACAGCTCCCTTCTCTGGAGACCTGCCCTAGGCCTACCTGCTCCCAGGTGTGAGGCATGTCTCACCCCACCCCCTCACCCCCACCTAGAGCCTGGAGCCAGTGACTTACCTACAGGGGGCATTCAAGTTGACCCCGTGCTCCCAGTGGGAGCAGGCCTGTGGGGCAGCTCCCCGTGGGGTCAGACCACACCTGGCTCCAGCAGGGACCACACCCCGGCTCAGCTCCTTCCCGGCCCTCCCTGCCTGCCCACCCTCCCTCCGGAGAGCACCTCCTCCAGCAATCTCGCCTAGCTGCCTCCCTTCCTCAAGCTCTGCTTCTAGGAGACTGGCCTTAGGCAAAAATTATTTATGATACAACTGCTCACCCTACTGAAAACTGGAAACTTCCTAAATGTCAAGCAGTGGGGGATGGGTTAATTAAATTGTGGAAAATTCACCTGATACAACCGCATTTTTGGCAAAAGAAAATATCTGTACTATACTGGTAACTGAAGATGCATGCTGTAGAGAGATGCCAATTTTATACAAAAAATTTATAAATATAGAATAATAATGGAGGGTTACACTAAAAGTTTAATAGAAACTAATTCTAGTAGTGATTTTAATTTAGTGATCTTGGAATAGGTAAATGTTTTTGTTATCCTTTTGACGTTCTGTGTTTTTTTGTACTTATTATGACAAACATGAACTAGATTAGAAAAAAGAATTCAAGAGATTTTATTTTTTTAAGTATGACACAAACACACCTGCTCCGGAATGTTGTGAAATTATCACCTACATCCTTGACTGACTTCTGTGAGCCTGGATTTTCTCAACAGATACAGATTTGTTTTTTGCTATGCCTTTTATTTTGGAATAAGTTTAGATGTATAGAAACGTCACAAAGGAGACCCCTGCACCATTCACCAAGTTTGCCCTCTTGTTAACACCTAGCAAAGTGTTTTGTATCTTGAAATTAAGGCCAAAGGACCTGAGAAAAATCCTTAGAATTCTCAAAACGATGCAAAATAGGAAATAAATGCATCCAACTCTCAAAAGATGCTGACACATCTTCACATACATGAAATGTTGAAAATTTGATAAGACCCTTTTAGGTGAATATGTCATCAGAGAAATGATCATCAAATAGTATTTCAGGCAAACTAGGGATTTTTTTCTGCATACTGAACTGGTAGGTGTCTGTGGGCATCTTGGTCCACCTGAACCGGCGTTTGGGAAGGGACCGCTGATTGGTGGGACGATGGCGTTCTCACTCTGCGTCCGGCTGATGCAGGGCAGATGAAGGTGTCTTTGTGGAGGGTTTCTCGCATGGCGAGGACCTTACCTAAACTGCTCTCATGATCTCGTCTTTCTGCAGGTCATTTTGGGTCTGGCGTTGCCTCCTACTTCATATTCTTGAGATGGCTGTTTGGAATCAACATCGTGCTGGCCGCGATGACAGGTGCTTTCATTGTCATTCCAGAGGTGAGCACCGGCTCAGGAGAGAAAGTGCCGTTCGTTAAGAAGACGGCAAAGCATAAAAGATCGCCCCCCTGGTCCCTGCGGGAGGGCACTGCGTGTGTTGAGACAGCGCTCGGCAACTTTGCTGTAATCCCACGGAGCAAATATTTGAGGCTTCCTGGTCCGTCTGCCGGCACTCCCCCAAAACCGGCCACGTAGTGCAAAAGTGGCCATAGGTGATATGTCAACCAGTGAGTGTGGCCGTGTTCCAATACAATTTTATTTGTGAGTGTTAACATTTGAACTTTATTATAATTGTTCTGTGCCACAAGATATTATTCTTTTGATTTTTTCCCCCCCCAACCATTTAAAAATGCAAGAACCATTCTTAGCTCCTGGGCCACACAAAAAGAGCTGATGGGCTGGGCTGGGCCTGTGGGCCACCTTGCCGACCCAGTGTGATTGTAAAATAAAATCCATTTTTCAACCAAACTTCATCGTCACACTGTGCACGGGCCACATCCCGTCTATCATAGAAATCTCGGGGCTTCAGTAACCACCCATAGAAGCCACGGCCGGCCCAGAGAGAGCACACACGCCCGGGCAGACCGCCAGGGGTCAAAAAGGAAACTGGCCTAGCCGTGATTGACGCCCCACCCGCAAGAAGGAGGCAGAAACCACCCCCTGAGACATCCTGTGCCTGGCGTCTTCACGAGCACACGGAGATCAGCCTCCCCTCTTCCCCGGTCCCCCCGACCCCGAAGAGCGCGTGACACCCTCTCCTCTCTCGCCAGCTGCTCGCGGGCCAGCCCTCTGGCAGCACGGCCAGGAAGTCCATCCCCAAGGAGCAGGAGGGCTCTGCCCAAGACCTGGACACCGTCTGGTCCCTGGGGGTGAGGCTCACGCTTGGCCACACTCTGGCCCTGGGGGGGGTGGTGGTGAACGGCCACGGCCCGGGGCCCGGGAATCAGAAGTGACACGGGGCGCTCTCCTTGCAGGGCTACCTCCAGTACTCCGTCCTCTTCTACGGCTACTATGGCAGGGAGCGGCGGATCGGGAGAGCTGGCTACCGGCTGCCCTTGGCCTACTTCCTGGTGGGGATGGCCGTGTTTGCGTACAGCTTCATCATTCTCCTAAAAAAGTACGATAGCTTCGTTCCTCAGACTGCCTCTCGAGAATCACGGCGCGTGCGCTCTCGTGCGAGCTTGTCAGTAATTCCGTAAGGTTAAGGCATGACACTAACCGCGCCCATTTCACAGGTGGAGAGACTGAGGCTAAAAGAGGTGTGTTCATTTTTAACCAGCACTTGCTGAGCAGGGGCTGCCTTGTGCCAGGGTCTGCGTTGGGTCTGCAGAGACAAGAATGCTATAAACTAACCAGCTGGTGTGATTTGAGACAATGTAGTGGCTGCGCTAACGGAGGGAGAAACAATATGACCTAGGTGACCAGAGGTTGCAGAAACAAAACGTCCTCCTTGTCTGTGAGTTTGCTAAGACCGAGCTACAGTTCCACGAAGGCCAGGCCAGCCTGTGCTATGTGCGGTTGACTCCTGTATTTGCCACTGAGAGGAGTTGCCCGGCCAGGGTCAGCAGCGCCACCCCACCCCCACCGTAAGGCCTGCAGGGACTCGCCGTCCCTCCCTGGGCCTCGTGTGTAAACTGCGAGGGGGCTCGGGAAGTCCCCCGTCTCCTCCCGGCTTACCCAGTGCTTCCGTGCGGGGGCCGGGCACATGCAGACTGGCGGGGGGGGGGGGGGCTCCAATCCCCAGACCCCGCCTGTCCCCTGGCCCCACTTGGGTCGCCTGCCGCTTCTGTCTGAATAGGACGCCCCCTTCCCTGCTGCGCCCACGTGACATGGTAGCAAAGTGCAGACGGGAGAGCTTGGGGTGAAAAGCAGACAGTAAACCAATAAACAAACAGCCCCTGAGGAGGTGCGCGGTGACTTGGGGTCCTTCGGTTCCCCCAGAGCTTTCCAGCTTAGCTCCCCCTGGCCGCACCTGGGAGACTCAGGCCCTTTCCTAGATGTTGCGACCTAACACACTGACTGCCACGTGAGTTGTATCTAACTCAGGCTGGTTTTCAGCCCGGAGCTGCCTGAAGCAAAACCCTGCATGCAGTTGGTTCGTGGAAATCTTACGTGTTGATGTTCTCATTGTTACAGTCAACGCTGACGATTTAACTCTAAAAACGTAGATTGCGTTGCATATAACTCACGCACAGAAAATATTAAAAAATCAACAGGTTAGAAAGGATCGTTTTGTTTTAATAAGACACCGTGGCCCCAGGTAAAAGCATTTTTTTTCCTAGTGTGGCCGTCGGCCTGCCGCGAGACTAAATCAGAGCGAACCCGAGAGCAAGCCTGGACGGGGGCGAAAAGCTCGTGCCGGGACGTGCTCTAGGGAGCAGCGGCTTCCCCTGAGGAGGGACCCTGAGTCCACCTTCAATATCTAAAGGAATGTCACGTGCTAGAGGGACGCGGCGTGTTCCTCGGGACCCAAGGCGCAGAGTTCGCACGGGCAGGAGCCCCGGGACTGGTTCAGCTTAGAGGATTTTGTTTCGCAGCCACAGCTATGCAGAGATGGGAATAGCCGGGGGACGCACCTGCAGGGGCCGGCTGGCTGAAATCCAGTCGGTGCCCGGCAGTGACCGAGTGGCTGCGTCCACCCGGCAGGGGCAGCTTCTCCCAGCTCACGCCAAGGCCGCGTGGGGGCGAGCGACAGCCTCCCGTGGGTGGGTGGGCTCCTTCCTGCGACTCCCCTGACCCTCTTTCTGGCTCCTCTTCCGCAGGATGGCTAAGAACTCCCGCACCAGCCTGGCCAGCGCCTCCAGAGAAAACTACACCTTCTGCTGGCGGGTGTTTTGCGCCTGGGATTACCTCATCGGGAACCCGGAGGCCGCGGAGAGCAAGACAGCCGCCATCGTGAACAGCATCCGGGTGAGCGAGCGGCCCCTGCGGGCTGCGGGGCGGGCGGCGCGGGTCCGGCTCTGAGGCCGCGTGCCAGCCACGCGCGGTAGCACCGTCCTCCTCCCGGCGCTCACCGGCCAGGGCCGCTGTTTGCAGAGCGAGCTGAGCATGCCCCAGGAAGCACACCACAGGGGCCCATGGAGTGCAGGAAGAACATTCTGGAACTTATGTTTGTTTTCAATGTTTTATTCCATCCTTTTAAGTCTTCAGTTTGTATGTGTTTGATAATTTACGCAACGGGTTATTACCGTGTTGCGTGTACATAACCTGAAAAGGAATAGATCCCTAAATGTGGGGACTATAGATGTTTGTTTTTTTTTTAACTTAGAAGACAATCCAGTCCAAAGCATTCAGGGACTTGGGTCTCCTGAACCACACAGACAGCTCAATGCTGCCCTATTTCGAAGAAAGATAAAAGGTATTTAGACGATTTGAATCGTCATACATATGCCATGTCCATCCCCTCTTCCCAATCCCCAATTTCCCTTTCTCAATTACTTATTAGATAATTGACATCAAATCCACTTACAGCAGTAGAGTCTCACAGAATAAAGTCTTAGACATTGAAGGTATGAGTTAAATTACTGGGTAGATTATTTCTGGTGATTTAGGATTAACATTCTGACACACACACACACACACACACACACAGAGCCAGAAACTCTTCCTTGGGGCCACAGTGTTTTATTACAAAAATAGGATGAAAACTTTGAGTGTAACTTAAAGGTAAACATAAATAGAAAAATGAAATGTATCGACTTCCACTCGTTTCACCCACGTTTTCAGAATTAAATTGGTTTTGAGTTAACTGTAGCAATAAGAACATCAACAAGTGAGATTTTATGCGTGCGTCCCGTGGCCCCTCGAGTTAAATACAGGTCTCCTGGCGGTTGGTGTGTTGACGGCGCTGCTAACCCGGCTGTGATGCCATGTGTGTGTTTTTCCTTGAAGGAGGCCATCCTGGAAGAGCAGGAGAAGAAGAAAAGCAAAAACCTGTAGGTATCAATACTCTCCACCTTCGATTCACTGATAAGCTTTCTTTCCATTTGGCACAAAGATTATCTGCACCTTGTTTTCCCAACTGCCAGGCCGCTCCTCTTTCTTCTCAGTGCCCATTATTCTAGCAAAGTGCTCCGAGAGCATGACCTTTGACCTTTCTGTGGCTGCGCGTCCCCCTCCTGCAGGCCCTGCGACCAGGGCAGAGGTGGGACTCCGACCGGCTTCCTAGTCTTTCACTTAGATAGCAAGGGAGGTATTTTGAATGCCAGCTTCTGGTCTGCCAAATGCAGCAACCACGTGAATGTCACCGAGACTCGTTCTATCTAGAAAAGAGTCTCGGGAGCCGTGAGACACAGGTGTCATCTGGCTGTGCTCTCAGGCCGTCCACCCGGGCGACTGCCGGGTTCTGAGGTTCACCTCGGGTCTCAGGAGCTACCGGGAGGGCGGCCCTTCCGCCAGCGCCCGCCCGCGAGGCCACTCCCAGGGAGGGAACGGCCTGTCCTCACACTGGCGCCTCCGCTCGCCCCGCCCTTGCTGGGTCTGCAGCGCTCACCGCGAGTCTCCGCAGTGCGCAGAGCCCCTCCAGGGGACTGGTGTGGACCAGGACGCGGGGACCGAGGGGGCACGCCCGGCCTCGGGACAGCGAGAGGCAGCGAGGGGAGCAGAGCTGGGAGAACGGATTCCAGCCCTCCTTGTCGTTAATGCCCACGACACGCCCCCGGCCTTGTGGGCCTGCACCCCTCACCGTGAAGGGAAAGACGGCGTCTGCCTTCTGATTCCTTATCTGCAGGTCTCCTCCGCCAGAGCTGCTCGTGATAATATCGCAGCGCGCCATGTTTTCGTTTTTGTTTTTTTTTTTTTTTGAGACAGAGTCTCGCTTTGTTGCCCAGGCTAGAGTAAGTGCCGTGGCGTCAGCCTAGCTCACAACAACCTCAAACTCCTGGGCTCAGGCAATCCTCCTGCCTCAGCCTCCCGAGTAGCTGGGACTACAGGCATGCACCACCATGCCCGGCTAATTTTTTCTATATATATTAGTTGGCCAATTAATTTCTTTCTGTTTATAGTAGAGACAAGGTCTTGCTCTTGCTCAGGCTGGTTTCGAACTCCTGACCTTGAGCAATGCGCCCGCCTCAGCCTCCCAGAGTGCTAGGATTACAGGCGTGAGCCACCGCGCCCGGCCCATGTTTTCGTTTTTACCGAGCGAGGTGACGTTTGTCGTTCCACGTGGGGGCGAGTCCCTGGCTGTGCAGAGGAAGGGCCGAGACGCGTGTTGAGGGAGGCACTGACACCTGCCCGAGGTCCCGGCAGGGGAGACCTCACGGAGCAGATGGTTCCCCCCTCGCCACACCTTCCTCCAGCCCCTGCTGCCGGCCAGGGCCGTGCGGGTGCCACCAGGCGCACACGTGGACCCCCTGCTGGTGTCCACGCCTGGTGCCCGGGGAGCCTCTGGGGCTGCAGCCTGGGTGCCCGCAGGGCCCCAGCAACACGCGTGCTCGCGCAGCCAGGGCGCCGGGTGTGGTGCTGGAGCTCACGCTCACGGGTGCCCTGCACGTGGGAGTGGGATAGACGCTTTCCTCTTTCCCGCTGGGCAGGCAGTTCCGAGAGGCATTTCGTGGGCCCCGCAGAAGGCCCTGCAGTTGCCTCTGCACGGCCTGCTCCACCGCGTGTTCTGGTGCCGATGGCTTCTCCCTCCGGCTCGCCTCCCCCAGGCCTGCACCTCCGCTGTCCGAGATGGCGTCTCGGATAAACCATTCACACCTGCAAGAGGGCCTGGGGTTCCCTGTCCAGGCCCACCAAGCTGAGACAGGCTCCAAAGCTGGCAGAAGAAGATGCCTTAAAAACAAGACAATCGAAGTCGGACAGTGAGGTGCCCTCCAGCGTTAGAAACGATGGGCGAGATTCAGATACAACTGGAAACACAAATGTAAATGCTAGAATCGCCATTGACTCAGAGACCTGCCCATACCAGGAAGGCACGCAGGAAGGGAGACCCCGTGAGAAAGACATGAGCCCCGTGTCCCGTCTTGTGGTGGTTTAGTTGCTCCTTTATTTACTCGTTCACCTAGCAAATATTTATTAAGTCCCCGCATGTGCTAAGCCTGCTCTAAGAGCTGAGGATACAGCAGGGAAAAAGACTAAAACGTTTGAGAGCTTAATTCTAGAGGGAAGACAGCTAAGAACCTACCAGCGAAATACAGTCGCCCCTCTCCTAGCAACAAGGAGCGGTCGGAGAAATGTCTTCAGGCACTGCCGTTGTTGCGGGAACGTCACGGAGTGCACCTACACGCACCTAGACGGCACGGCCTACGACACACTTAGGCCGCGTGGCACACGGCCTCTTGCTCCAAGCTGCAAACCCGTGCAGCGTGTTACTGTGTGCTGTAGGTAGCTGTAACACAATGCTTAGTATTTATGTATCAAAATACATGCAAACATAGAAAGGTACAGTCAAAGTATGGCATAAGGTGAGAGACGCTACCCCTGAGCGGGCTACTTACCGCGAATGGAGCTTGGGGGGCTGCAGCTGCTCTGGGTGGGGCCGCGAGTGAGCGTGGAGCCCTCAGACGGCGCTGCTCGCTGCTGCAGACGTTGTCAACACTGCACTCTTCGGCTACACCAAAGTTATTTTTTTTTAAGGTTTCTCTATTCCAGGACAAATTAGCCTTAGTTCTTTAGTTTACTGTCACTATTTTACATTAAAAACTTTTGAATTTTTTACAACTTTTTGACTCTTTTATAACAACACTTAGCTTAAAACACAAACACATCGTGGGGCTGTACAAAAATGTTTTCTTTCTTTATATCCATATTCTATAGCTTTTTTCTATTTTTATTTCTTTTTTTTTTTTTTTACTTTTCAAAATTTTTGTTCAAAACTAAGACACAAGCACACACGTTAGTCTAGGCCCACACAGGGTCCGGACAGTCAATATGACTGTCTTCCACCTCCACGTCTTGTCCCCCTGGAAGGACCTCGGGGACAGTAACACACCGGGAGCTGTCGTGTGTGCCACCTTCTGTGATGACAATACCTTCTTCTGCAAGGCCTCCCGACGGGACGGTCCTGCCTGAGGCTCTTTTACAGCTAACATTTTTTTAAGTAGCTACAAGGAGTACACCCGAACATAATGATCAGAAGTATAGCAAATACAAAACCCGGTGGCACAGCCCCTCATTACCGAGTATTACGCACTGCATGTAATCGTGTGTGCTGTCACCTCCCACGACTGGCACACGTAGGTTTGCTCACACCTGCGTCGCCGGCAGTGCACAGGTGATTTGTTGCGTTGCAATGTCACCAGGCAGTAGAGATCTTCCAGCTCCATCGTGACCTTCTGGGACCACCATCACCTGTGCGGTCTGTTGTGGACCAAAACATCGTCAGGTGGCTCGTGACTCTGCATGCTATGAGGTCAGGCTCGTTATATGGAGTGACGGGCAGAATCTTTCGTCCGCCCTCCCAATCCTCTCTGCTCCCTCCCTCCCCCTCTCTCTCTCTGCTGGACGGTTACTGGAACTCCTGCATCCTAAATGCACCGTCTCCAGGACTCCAGTTACAGGTGGCAAAGAACTGAAACCCAGGTACCTGGGCGCTAAACCCACTGTGGCTGTTTGTCTGTTTAAAGCCTCGCTGATGCCGGTTGCATTTGCGACGCACTGTCGATCTCTTAGGAGGTGAGGGCTGCCGGGGCGCAAGGGAAGAGCGCTGACTCTTCGGGGCAGAGCACCCCCTGAGCGGGCGTGCTCCAGTCCCCAGGTCTGTGCGTGGCGGTGCCCTGAGCACACCTGCCTCTCCCCCAGGGCCGTGACCGTCTGCCTGAGGGTCGTCGCCAACATCCTGGTGCTGCTGTCGCTGGCCGGGAGCATCTACCTCATCTACTTCGTGGTGGACCGGTCCCAGAGGCTGGAGCAGTCCAAGAAGGAGCTGACGCTCTGGGAAAAGAATGAGGTACCGCTGCCACTGCCCGAAGATTTTGATTCGTCTTCATTGGGAAAGATTTTGATTAAAAATGCCTTGGAGTGCCGGGCGCGGTGGCTCACGCCTGTCATCCTAGCACTCTGGGAGGCCGAGGCGGGAGGATTGCTCAAGGTCAGGAGTTCGAAACCAGCCTGAGCAAGAGTGAGACCCCCGTCTCTACTATAAATAGAAAGAAATTAATTGGCCAACTAATATATATATAGGAAAAAATCAGCCGGGCGTGGTGGCCCATGCCTGTAGTCCCAGCTACTCGGGAGGCTGAGGCAGGAGGATCGCTCGAGCCCAGGAGTTTGAGGTTGCTGTGAGCTAGGCTGACGTCACGGCACTCACTCTAGCCTGGGCAACAGAGTGAGACTCTGTCTCAAAAAAAAAAACAAAACCAAAAATGCCTTGGAGCGTTCACACTGTCTCCTACATGTGAGCCCGCCTGTGCCACGTCTGTTTCTTCCCATCCGTGCTTCCACGGCGTGACACGGCCTGCAGACTGGCGTTCACCTCTGTGCTGGATCCCATCCTGTGGATCCAAGGTGACCGGGCCCAGTTTGTGAGCACTTAGCTGGCCTCTGTGTGCCCACATTGCAAACAATGCTTCCAGGACCAGCTCCACACATGGCTTGTTTTTTAAACAATCTTTCCCCTCCTTGTGTGAATATTCCCCTAAATAGAAAATTACCAAGTAGACGGTTATGGACAGCTGAAGAATTCTTAGCATTTGCCATAGGACCGTTGTCCTGAAAGGTTGGCCCAGTTGACCTGCAAAGATTTAAAAGGCAGAAATAGCACAGGAACCGCTTCTCGGGCCACTTCTGTGAAAATTGTTGCCATCCTTTGGGGTTTCAAAAGCGGAGTGTGTAGGCGAGAAGGTGGTCATCAGTTTAGCCTGTGCATATTCGTCAGCATACGAAGATTTATCGAAATCCGAGACTGCTCAGGTGATCTTTTCCCACGCCTCTTTCTACTGTATGTCCACTAAACGGGTTTGTGTACAGGTGTGTTTGTGTGTTTACAGACAGGTGGATCGTTTTTTACAAGATACATCAGAAATCATTCCTTATTTTGGCTCACACATCTGTGCACCAGCTAAAACTCCTCTGTCTTTTGCTCTAAGCACAGGGAAACAAGAGCCAGGCATGACTCTCCAGATAATTAATCTTCCATGGACAGGGAGAATATTAGGTTACCTCTCCGTCTTCCCTTTGCTATTCATAATGGTTCCAGTTATTTCCACCTCCCACCCGAGGCCAGGGAGGTATAAATAGAACAGAGACGGTAACTGGAAAATGTGGCAGAAATGCCAGTGGATCCCACATGGCGTGTATTTGTGTTCCTAGAAGAGCCAAGGAGAGTTCCTCAAAAATGTATGTGCAGTTGTGACAAAGTGGCCGCAGCCATTTGACAAAAGCCGCGTCCAGGAGGCTAGCAGCGGTCCGGGAGGTTTCCCGTGTAGGAGCCGCTGACTTGGCGGACGCCCGCTGAGCCAGCGTCAGGCCCCAGTGTCGGGCGATGGGGTTGGGGTGGGGACCCCCGGGAACGCGGGGTCTGGCGCTCACTCTCTTGGCAGGTGAGCGTGGTGGTCTCTCTGGTCACCATGCTGGCGCCGTCGGCCTTCGACCTCATCGCGGCCCTGGAGATGTACCACCCGCGGACCACGCTGCGCTTCCAGCTGGCGAGGTAGGGCGCCCCGCCGGGAGGGGCCTGGGCGGCCGGGCCGTCTGCCCCCACGGGGAGGTGGGGGTCCCTGCCTCCAGAGCCACAGGGCTCGCTTCTCCCCCCGACTCTGCCTATAGATGCAGCTCAAGAACAGCAGGACCCAGGAGGGAAGAGCGGGGCGTGGGGGCAGGGGAAGAGGAGAGGAGGGGACGGAGGGAGAGAAAGAAGAGGGCGAAGGGAGGAACAGGCAGAAATGCGGGGTAGAAAAGAGGACCAAGAACGTGGCGGCGAGTGCGCCTGGTCGTCCTCGCTGTTGCGTTCTCTCCGGGCTTGTCCGGGTGGCGCGAGAGACCCAGGCTGTTCTCCCAGACGTGAGGGGAACAGCAGATGCTTTGCTGGTGATTCCCAAATCACAGACCCACAGGGTTCTCGGGCCACGCAGGGTGGCCCGTGGCTGCGGTAGCAGGCGGTGTCCGCAGGCGGGTGTGTGGGAGGGGACGCGGCTCCCAGTGCAGGGGCCGGAGCAGCCGCACTCACGCCCGCGCCGGCATCATCACCGCGCTCCGCAGAAATCCGCCTCTCCCCTGGAGCGTGTCTCCTCGCCTGTCAATCAAACCGCCGCCCGCAGCAGGGCAGGCGAGCCTTGCCGAACTGCACTCGGCGGCAGGAGGCGCGGGAGCCCTGCCCACTGGCTGCCACCCCCGCCCGGCCATGCTGCCATCACCTGTCTTCTCTTGTGACACCCAATAGCATCTGCAGAGCTGGTTCTGCAGGGGCGACTGTGGGAGGCTTTGCCCCCACCCAGGAGGCGGCAAACATCTGAAAAGGAGCAGGCGGCAGACGTGTGAGGTGTCCCTGCTCACAACGTCTCTGTCACGGTCACTCAACTCCAAGGCTGTAGCTCGGAAGTAGCCGTAGGTGACACGGAAACAGAAGGTGTGGCTGTGTCCAGCACACCTTCACCGACAGAACGGGCAAGGGACGGCTTGGCTTGGAGGCCGTACTTTCCAACCCTGAACTGCCCTTTGAAAGACAGAGAAACATAACCAGAAAGAGCGAGGGGCCGGCCAGAGCGTCACAGCCCCGCGCAGACCTGGAGCGAGGCGGGGCCCCGGCCCGGCCGGCTCCCTGCGCCCCCTCACGCCTCTTCTGACCTGGGAGACAGAGGCGCCTTCCTCGGCTCCCTCCTCGCCAGCGGCACGGAGCAGGGCCGATGCCGACATTGCGTCTGGTCCAGGGCAGTCCTATTTCACAGATTGGCCTCGCTACTCACGCCCGGAACTGGAGAAACAGAGGCACCGGAGACCGGCCCAGACAAGCGAGGGCCAATCCCAGTGACAAGAGTGAGACTCGGTGTTCCAGCTCCATTAACTCACCAGCAGACTGTGTTGCCTTTTATCCAAGAGAAAGCCAGCACGATGGCCACACAAGACGGCGGGAGATGAGGTGCATCCACCCCCCCTCCCGCCAGCGCTTACTGCCTGACGCCCAGGGGCTCCCCTGGGCTTGGGACTGCAAACGCGTTTCTTGGAAGGGAAGTCCTGCACAGCCTGGAGGGAAGCCATCGTGAGTCACAGTGCCGTCCCCTGAGCTGTCCCCTCCCCCGCCCACTGCCCGCACACGGCGGTCAGCTCCGCACCAGGAGGCCTGTGGCCAACTCACGGCTGCCACGTGGAGTCTTTTCCTCGAGATATAGATGTTTCCTCACCAGCCGCCCGTGGCTTCATGGTCGTTGTCCCACTGAAACGTCCACACGCCTGCCGTTCTCCTGGCCCGTCCTGCTCCCCCCGACAGGTTTCCGGCAGGCCCCAAAGCTGCATCCCGGCAGGCTCCCTGGTGTGTGTGCGGAACCTTTCCTCTCTGGGAAACGGACATCAAGTCTGTGGTCGCTGGCCGATCGAGACGGTCCCTGGCAGATTCCAGCAACATCCCGGGGGTCCCCCCGGCGTAGCTGCACCCTCGACCCTCAGAGCTCTCCTGGGGGATCCTGCCTGCACTTCAGAAGCAGGGCGCTGACACCCTGAAACTGCACCCTGCCCCTTTTCACCGTGCGAGCTGAGCTCGCTCCAGTTTGCTTGTCCCTGAAGCGGGGTTGCTCCAGAGTGCAGCTCGCGGAGCTGTTGTGAGGATCAAATGAGATAACTCGTGGACGGAAAATCACTTCACAGACCAGATAGCACGACACAGAGGCACGCTTCACATTACACTTTGGAGCCCACCCTCTGCACTCACACCCCTGCTGCCACCCGGGCGTTTCTGGGGTGCTCGCCCCAAGACACGCCACGATGGAGACCCCTAGAGAGGCCGTGAAAACAGGCCCAGACCTGCCGAAGCAGGGGGATTCAGGAATTCTGTATTTTCTTGCATGCCCTCGAGGTGGCCCCCAAGGAAGCCACGCTTGGCAGCCACGGTCCTGGTATATCCGTACGGTCTCTGGAACCGCGTGGTGGGGTCTAGAACCTCGGACCGCGTGTGGCGGCCTTGTTCTCAGGGTGGGCTGTGGCTTGCAGGGTCCTTGTGCTGTACCTGGGGAACCTCTACAGTCTGATCATTGCCCTCCTGGACAAAGTCAACAGCATGAGCATCGAGGTGAGTGCCACCTGCACAGCCACCCCGCCTCCGCCCCGCCCACCCCCACGGGGTCTTCCGCGTGCCCGTCACGCCGGCACCGAGTCTGCGTCCCACGCCTCTGCTCCAACTCAACTCGGTTGCGGCTTTCTCCAGGTGAGGACAGAAAAGCAAGGCAAAGACACTCGGGCCACGGTTCCCCGCTAGTAGGTGACAGTGCCGGGATGAGAACTCGGGGCTTTTCACCCATTTCCTTGAATCTTGTCCGGAAAAACTATTGCGAGTGATCCCAGGAGGAGCGGCAGGCGCTGGGCCTCACTCAGAAAGTCAGGAGGGAACAGTCGTCCCACGGGGGGCAGACCAGGGTGGGCCCCGCCAGCCCAGCCGGAGCGCCCGCTCCCAGCCTAGGCAGCCTCGGCCTCAGGGTCACCTGCTCCACCCGCCAGTCTGTCCCCGGCGCTGGGGCGGGGGGACGGGGGGACGGGGAGGAGGCGCTTCCTCCAGGTGGTTTGCCCGGGCGGCCCACACTAGCTTCAGATTTCAAGACTGACGGCAGAGGAGGCCACAGAGAGGAATTTCCTGCGTCAGGGCCCTGAGGACCCACAGACCTGGGTCCTCACCCGCCTGGGTCCTCACCTCCCTGGCAGCACAACCCCCAGTGTCAGACTCGAACTCCTGAGTTCCGATCTCCTCCTCCTATCGTGGGGTAGTCATCCTGACCTCTCACGCCTGGAGGATGAGAAGAGATAGAATGTGTGGGCTGAAGCACTTGCCGGCACTTACGGGGGACCGATAACTACGACCCGCTATGTCTCCGTGTCCCCCTACTGCGGCCAAGTCTCAGAGACTGAGACACAGAGAGAGACACAGAGAGAGACAGAGACTGAGACACAGAGAGAGACACAGAGAGAGACAGAGACTGAGACACAGAGAGAGACAGAGACTGAGACACAGAGGAACCAAGAGACCTAGCCAAGGTAGATACCACCACAGAGATTTCAACTCTTCTGCAAAGTCTTAGGGCAAACTGAATTAATAAAGAAAGAGATTTTCAGAAACAGATTCCAGCACTCGAAATGCTGGCAATTTAAAGAAGGCAACATATATCATATTCGCGAAGGATGCAGGGCTCCCGGTGAATGACTGTTCAGAAGCCATCCTGCCACACTGCCGATGATGATTGGTACTGATCAATTAAGAAACGTGCAGGTACCAGCACTACAAAGAAAGGCTTGAGTCATGCTAACTAAGTTTCTTCTTGCTATAAGTTGGTATCGTTGTGTCTATAACCACCCTAACAAACTTATATTTTATTTGTAGCAGTCAATTATGGATAGTCTAAACGGCGTTGTAAAAGGAGCAAGGTGGAGTACCAAAAATCAATGCAGAAGTATTTATGGTACTGAAATCTGTTGTGGACTAAAATAATATTTTTCCTTCCTCCTTTAGTTAATACATGATTTATCTGCAGAAAGCGAATAAACTAACCAGTTGATATGTACCCATTTCCAGTTAAGACCGTAATCAGTGGCAAACATTAAATAGGAGTAATCGATGAAAATAACTTTCGAATGCCGAAATATGGTTGAACTGTGTGCACGCTGACAAGTAAACAAATACAAACAAGGGATTATACACTGATTTAAGTAAGCTTAATCAATTTGCTACAGAAAAAACATCCTGTAAGTTGGCTATATAATCCTTAGAATGCATCCAAATTTCGCTGATTGGTACAGAGTCACTAGGGTAATTCTAACTCCAACAGCGACTGAAAAAGGAATAGACAGAAAAGTCATAACATAATATGTGGGGTTTGGATTAAAGGCGAAAGAGGCGAACTGAGTACGAGACTTACTTATTGTATACATCTGAGTAAAAAGACAAGCGATAATACTAATCAACACAAACAATACCTCCACCAACATGTGATATTTCATACGCACTAAAAATATAACCAATCTTTTCTTGTACTTTAACCACAAGGGCAAGTACATGTATATTCAAAACAATATAGTCACTGTTAACAAAACAGAATTCAGGAAAACCATGCTAACATTATGTATAGCCAAACGAGAATATTTTTAACTAATGAATAAGCGAAATATTTTAGATTTTCGTTTTGTACCCCAATGAGAGCTTACACAGTTATTGTTTGGAAAGCAGGAAAGATTTTCATTGCTCAAATGCTTGGTTGTTTTTGGTTTTGTTTATAAGTGGAAGTAACTTATAAAACAATCGTAAGCCATCGTTTCATGTGAATGTACATGACCCAGAGAAGGTACCCATGTCCATTCAGGGCAGAAGCAAAGGAAAGTAAACCTGAGATGCTTAGGATAAAATACTATTAGAATTATGGTATATCTCTGACAGTTCTTTTAGGATAGTGCATGCTCCATAAAATGCTATCTAATTTATCCACTCAAGCATCTACTTATCACCATTGGGCTTATATCCTACAAGCAGTATGAAAATAAATCACATTCAGACTATAGGAAACAGGATATACATGTCCTCTGTACATTACTAGAGAGCTTATAGTACTAATGATTTCTACCACAGAAACAACAATACGAAAAATAACTGAAAAGTCTGGAGAGCGAGTAATAAGAATCTATAGACTTTGAAATCATGACAAGGAATATGGTCAATCAATGTTTATAAATAAATGGAGATCAAGAAGTATAAGAACCTATTAAAAGGAAGTGACAAACACTGGGACAAAACTAACAGATGATGTTATCTAATGAATGACCTAAGGAATTAATTCAAGAAAAGAAGCAGGGAAGAACCCATAATCTAACTACCAGGAAGCAGGAAGGTAAAGAGAAGAAAAGTGCAGTCAGGAACTGAAAAGCTTGCTCCTGCGGACAATGAATGTTAGTAAGTGGGTAGGCGGATGAAGGTAGAAAGCCACAGGATGAAGAGGTGAGAAGGGCTCACTAATTGATTAGACCAGCTGCAAATAATAGTGAACTAAAGGGATTTAGACGAGAGGACGTACTTTACCCAGGAAGTGACACTGTTTGAATGTTTGGCACTAACGTATACCCTAGATAAATGAAGGAGGGGGCGATGAATCAGAGAAGGGGTACATGGCGCAGGGCGAATCTCAAAGTAATGATAAACGCTCTATTTTCTTAACTAGTGGTGACGCACAATGACTTTTTCCTTCTATTCTTTAATAGCAAACAATGTTACATATTACAATATATTCAAATTTAAGTAAAAGATACAGACACAAACTGAGATTAAAATCACATGTGGAAAAAATTTATTTGTTTTTAACTAAACGAACGTACCATCTAACAATTGACTTGCCAAACTAGAAAAAAAATTTTTGCCCCTGAGCGCCACAGTGTTTTTATAAATACAGCAAACAAAATTTTCTTATTTATTATTCTACATTTTCTATTCTAGAAGAATAATAAACTAAAAACAACATCTTTCAAATTTAAAAGAAATTGTTCATTTTTCCATTTTTTCCTGTGTGTGAGTTATATTACAACTAAAATATAGTTCGTAATGTAAGTAAAGAAATGTGTGACGTTAACACATATGCTTCCTAGGCCAGGCTCAAAATAGCATGAGTTAAGTACACCTCATGTAATTAAACAATGTCTGGACACTACAACAAATACACATCCTATTCAAAGCATTATTTGAACAAGCACATGTTTGAACTATACATCTGCATTCTTGGCACTGTTATACAGTTGACCGACTTTGACAAAATGGTTTCTGGAAATGCACGAGTCCACTTACTGTGATTTTTCAGTAAACTATACAGTGCGGAAACATTTTGAGATGCTGTGCACAATCGCTTGCAAAAAAGTTGAACCGACAAATTGGCCAAGTCTAAAATATTTTAAAAATTACTGAAAATTGTAAGGTTCGCTGAACACATAAATATATGTAGATACAGCCTATTTTTTCATTTACTAACATAAATGAGTACGAAGATGGGGCCGGGCGTGTGGCTTCATCACCCTGTAATCCTAACTCTTGGGAGGCCGAGGCGGCGGATGCTCAAGGTCAGGAGTCAAACCAGCCTGAGCAAGAGCCGAACCCGCTCTACTAATAATATACGAACAGAAATTAATTGGCAACTGATACTATGATATATGTATATAAAAAATTACCGGGCATCGTGGCCGCATCCTGTTAGTCCAGCTACCCAAGGGCTCGAGGCAGAGGATCCACATCGACCCCAGGAGTTTGAGGTTGCTGTGGAGCTAGGACGCCCCACGGCCGCACTCCATCTAGCTGGGCCAATGAAGCGAGAACTCCTGTCTCAAAAAAAAAAAAATTGACCGGGTGTGGTGGGTTCATACCGTAATCCTAGCACTCTGGGCAGGCCAAGGCGGGTGGGTTGTTTCAGTTTCAGCGAGTTCGAGACCAAAAGAAGCAAGAGCGAGACCCCTCTCAACAGAAAATATGCTGGACAATCTAAAATACTATATACATCAGCCAGTCAGTGGTCACTGTAATCTAGCATCTGGAGGCTGAGGCGGGCCCGATTGCCAAGGTCAAAGTTCGAACAACAGCTGCAGTGAGAACATCTTACAATAGAAAGAATTAATTAACCAATTAACAATAATATATAACCAAAACAATAGCTGGGCATGTGGTGCATGCCTATAGTCAGTACTCGGGAGCTGAGCATAAGGATTGTGAGCCAGGAATTGAGGTTTGCGTAAGCTAGGCTGATGCCATGGCATCTAATGGCAACGAGCTGAGACTGCTGGTGTCCAAAAAAAAAAAACAAAATTATATATATTACTATCTATTATAAAAGTTTTTAAAAACTTTATCGAAACGTATGCACATCAAACAAGATCCTACATGGCCACTATTTGCAGTTGAAGAGAATCAAAAACAAATTACAAAATGATAACTAAACACAACCTGCCATAAAATAATGTGATAATATATAGTTATGCAATAATTTCAAGCCACTCCTGGATGATACTTGCAGGAACCAACCCATTGTAGTCTCTGCTAAATGTCATGTTATGCCCATGACAGTTATCCTGTGACAGTTCGTCTTCCTATGCCTCCTCACCCCTCTCCCTTCCTCTCCTTTCTCCTCCATCCCTCCTCTTCCTCCCTCCTCCCTCCTCCTCTCTCTCTCTTCTTCTCCCTCTCCTCCCCTCTCCTCCCCTCTTCCTCTCTCGCCCTTCTCCTCCCTCTTCTCTTCCCTCTTCTCCTCTCTTCCCTCCTCCTCCTCTTCTCTCTTCTCCCCTTCTCCTCCCGTCTTCTTCTCCCTCCTCTCTCCTCCCTCCCTCCTTCTCCCTCCTTATCTCTCTTCCTCCTCCCTTCCTCTCTCCCTCTTCTCCTCCCTCTCCCTCCCTCCTCCTCTTCCTCCCTCTTCTCCCTCTCCTCGCTGCTCCTCTTCTCCTCTCCTCCCTCTTCCTCCCTCTCCCTCTTCTCCTCTTTTCCTCTCTCCTCTTCCTCCACTCCCTCCCTTCCCTTCCTCTTTCTCTCCTCCCTCTTTCCTCCTTCCTCTTCCTTCTCCTCCCCTCTTCCCTCTCTCTCCCTCTTCCTCTCTCTTTCTCCTCTCCTCTCCTCTTCCTCTTCCTTCTCACCTCTCTTCCTCCTCTTCCTCCCTCCCTCCCTTCCTCTTCTTCCTTCCCTCCTTCCTCCCTTCTTCC